CATATATATATATATATATATATATATGGAGAGAGAGAGAGAGAGAGAGAGAGAGAAACTGAGAATAAATATATATAAAGATGGCAAATATATATATATATATTTGCCATCTATATATAGAAGATACATATATATATATATGTTGTTTGCCATCTCTTCTGTTTTCCTAAATTCTACCTATGTAGAAAACTGAAGTGGTTTTAAGAGTGAAACACACTCTACATTTCTTTAGTTCTTGCATTTGACAAAAGGGATTGAGTTTAAGAGGACAGACCCTTTAGAGGCAGTACCTGCTCAACTATTCACTAAGTGCGTGACCTTGAAGAAGTTATGTGACCTCTTTTGTTACTCCCTGGGTTCTTCATCTGTAGAATGATGCCACTAACACCTTCCTGTGTCACATGTATAGTGTATGTACAGGGTTTGACACAGTGCCTGTCAATGGCAGTAGTAGAGGTGCCCTATTATTTTTTTTTTGAGACGGAGTCTCATTCTGTCGCCCAGGCTGGAGTGCAGTAGCACAATTTCGGCTCACTGCATGCAACCTCTGCCTCTTGGGTTCAAGCAATTCTCCTGCCTCTGCCTCCCGAGTAGCTGGGACTACAGGCACGTGCCACCATGCCCAGTAAATTTTTTTTGTATTTTTAGTAAAGACGGGGTTTCATCATATTGGCCAGGCTGGTCTTGAAATCCTGACCTTGTGATCTGCCCACCTAAGCCTCCCAAAGTGCTGGGATTACAGGCATGAGCCACCGTGCCAGACCCCCTATTTGTTTCATAGATATTTTTTGTTCACTCAGAAATGGGCTAGGTACTGTTTCAGGCACTAAGGATATAGCAGTAAATGAATCAGGCAGCTCCTGTTCTCAGTGGGCTCACATTCTAGGGCAGGAGGAGGTAAGTGTTGGTGGGGAAAAGACAGGAAAGATAAAGCCAGATTAAAGCATAGAGACGGATGATGAATGGGGTAGAAGCAGTGGTGTTTTAGCTGTGTGGATCAGAGATGCGTCCCATAAGGTTAATAGGAGTAGGAGCCAAAGATGTTCATTCCTCTATTCCTTTGCTCCTCTGCAGGGAGAAATCCTGCTTCATGTGGTTGTTAGGGAGAATGCCTCACTCCAACTCATTTTTGTTTGGGTGGGAGCAGTGCCAGCAGAAATAAGAGGTGGGATTTGGGGAGGTCTGGCCTTTATAGGCATATGTCATCCCACCTGGGAAGTCCAAAGCAAGGTTTCTTTATTCCATAATGGTTGATATGCAAATGACATTAGGCACTGAGAAATGCTTCTGAGTGGCTAGGAACAGTGGCTCAGGCCTGTAATCCCAGCACTTTGGGAGGCTGAGGTGAGCTGATCAGTTGAAGCCAGGAGTTCGAGACCAGCCTGGCCACCATGGTGAAACCCTGTCTCTACCAAAATTAACTGGGTGTGGTGGTGCGTACCTGTAATCCCAGCTACTCAGGAGGATGAGACATGAGACTTGCTTGAACCCAGGAGGCAAAAGTTGCAGTGAGCCAAAATGGTGCCACTGCACTCCAGCCTGGGTGACAGAGCAAGCCTCTGTCTCAAAAAAAAAAAGGAAAAGAAAAAAAAGAAATGCTTCTGTGTGGCTGGGCACGGTGGCTCATGCCTGTAATCCCAGCACTTTGGGAGGCCGAGGTGGGTGGATCACCAGAGGTCAAGAGATCGAGAGCATCCTGGCCAAGAGGGTGAAACCCTACTCTACTAAAAATACAAAAATTAGCTGGGCATGGTGGTGTGCTCCTGTAGTCCCAGCTACTCAGGAGGCTGAGGCAGGAGAATCGCTTGAACCTGAGAACCCCAAAGGCAAAGGTTGCGGTGAACAGAGATCGTGCCATTGCACTCCAGCCTGGGTGACAGAGCAAGACTCCATCTCAAAAAAAAAAAAAAATGAAAAAAAGAAATGCTTCCGTGTAATGGAACTTCTGCTTGGGGAGCAATAGGTAAAAATAAAACCCTAGGAAATCCCCAGGTCTCTCTCAGTGGGTTTGAGGTAAGAGTTGGCAGGTTGGTTTCACCTCTGCTTGCCTGTGGACAGAAAACCAAATAAATCAAAAGGCAGCCAGAATGGAATAACTAGCACCTTAAGATGACACCAGGAAACCTCGAGGGTGACGCAGGCCTCGGGATCTAAGGAGACAGTATGGTTAATTTGTCTGTGCCCTACATTTAGCTGCCTGTCTTCCCACACTTACGGCTTCTCCTGAAAAAGCAGGAGTGGCTGTGGTGAGTCGTTGCCCTGGAAGGTTGGAGTTGAATAAAATTCAAAACATGTCACATCTTTGGGACTTAATAATTTTTCTGAAGTAAGCTCCATACACTCTTTCCTATGTAGTCAATGGGAGGGAATGAGGAGGAAACAGACATGTCTTCCTCCAAGAACTCAGGCTCATTGTGTAGTAATAATGGACCCAAACAAAAGGACGCCCTTCTTTCTCCAGAATCCCTCTTCAGCTGCACAGCTTGCAGCCACAAGGTGGGTCTCTGTTACAGTGAGAGATACATTTGGCTGACTAGGGGGTACCAAGAATTGTCAACCTATAAACAAAGCATTCTGTCAGAAATGATTGCATGGAGAAAAGCAGCAGAGAAATTAGTAAGAGTATTACTACATTAACATTTAGAGAGCTGGCCAGGCACAGTGGCTCACACCTGTAATCCCAGCACTTTGGGAGGCCATGGCGGGCAGATCATCTGAGGTCAGGAGTTCAAGACCAGCCTGCCCAACATGGTAAAACCTTGACTCTACTAAAAATACAAAAATTAGCTGGGCATGATCGCACATGCCTGTAATCCTAACCACTTGGGAGCCTGAGACAGGAGAAGCGTTTGAACCTGGGAAGCAGAGGTTGCAGTCAGCCAAGATTACGCCACTGCACTCCAGCTTGGGTGACAAAGTCAGAGTCCATCTCCAAAACAAAAAAAATTTAGAGAGCAAAGCAAGGTATGGTGGCCTGTGCCTGTAGTGCCAGCTACTCTGGAGGCCAAGGTGGGAGGATGGTTTGAGCCCAGGAATTTGAGACCAGCCTGGGCAATATAGCAAGACTCCACCTCTAAAACAAAATTAAATTTAAATTTAAAAATATTTATGGAGCTGGGTGTTTTTAGAAGCATTTTACCAACATACAAATTCTTACAGTTTAGCAGCTCCAACACAGGCAGAGGGCACACATACAAGAATCGCTGGCACTCACTAGCCTGGGAAGAGTGTCAACACCGGTGTGCATCTATTCGGAGGCCAATCCCCTAGGAAGGACATTAGACACTTCTATCAGATGCCTAAGAGCATCAAACACAGATATTTACGCATCCGGTTATTAAAACTCAACAAAGAACCTTTCAAGTCGTTGTACCAGCTGCTGTTGTTCTGTTCAACTCTAAGTTTCAGGAGCATAACAAGTGTGTCTGAGACCCAGCCAATTCCCTAGACCACCCAATGTACTCCCAATGGCCAAATGTCCCCTCTTGGGGTGGGATTCTCAACTAACTTTTCTCCTAATAACGCAAGACCTATTCTTTTTTTTTTGGCAGATGTCGCTCTGCCACCCAAGCTGGAGTACAGTGGTGCATCCTCGGCTCACTGCAACCTCCACCTCCTGGGTTCAAGCGATTCTCCTGCCTTGGCCTCCCAAGTAGCTAAAATTATAGGCATGCACCACCATGCCCGGCTAATTGTAGATTTTTAGTAGAGATGTCGTTTCACCATGTTGTCCAGGCTGATCTCGAACTCCTGACCTCAGGCAAAAATGTATATTTTCTTTCTTTCTTTCCTTCCTTCTTTCTTTCTTTCATTCATTCTTTCTTTCTTTCTTTTTTGAGACCCAGGCTGGAGTGCAGTGGTGAGACCTCGGCTCACTACAACCTCCACCTCCCAGGTTCAAGAGATTCTTCTGCCTCAGCCTCCCAAGTACCTGGGATTAGAGGCAACTGCCATCATGTCCAGCTCATTGCCCGGCTAATATTTTGTATTTTTGGCAGAGACCGGGTTTTGCCATGTTGGCAAGGCTAGTCTTGAACTCCTGACCTCAAGTGATCTGCCTGCTTCAGCCTCCCAACGTGCTGGGATTATAAGTGTGAGCCACTGCACCCGACCACATTTAATACATTTTAATGTATATTTAATACGTTGCTTTTCAGAACTTACCTAGATTTAGAAATTTTAAAAGATGCTCTTAAAATATGTATGAAGACTATCTCTGCTAATTTATACAGAGACAATCTTTAGAAGGATGTAAACCCCTACTACCCAGGGCTACCTCTGTTGAGAGGAACTGGGTGCTTGGGGAATGAAGGGGAAGAGAGTATGGAGTTTTTTTTCCATTTGTATGAAACTTTTGACTTTTGTACTATGTTTATGTGTTGTATTACCTACTCAAAAGTAGCTTTTTATTTCTTTGTTTAAGATGGAGTCTCGTTCTGTCACCCAGGCTGGAATGCAGTGGCGTGATCTTGGCTCACTGCAACCTTTGCCTCCCGAGTTCAAGCAATTCTCCTGCGTCAGCCTCCTGAGTAGCTGGGATTACAGGAGTACACCACCATCACACCAGCTAATTTTTGTATTTTTATTGGAGACGGAGTTTCACCATGTTGGCCAGGCTGGTCTTGAACTCCTGACCTCTAATGATCTGTCCCTTTGCCAAGCCTCCCAAAGTGCTGGGATTACAGGCATGAGCCACACCGCCTGGCAAAAATAAGTAATTTTTAAACTGTATGTGAAGAAAAATCTGTAAATGTTTTTGTCGTAACCCCCAACCCCCAACCCACCACCACCATTTTTTTTCCTGCAAAAATTATTTCAAGACCTGAGGAAAATGATGAATTAAACTTTCCCTAACAGGAAAGACAACGTCTCAAAATTCTGCCTGATGTATGGAGAGAAGCATCCTGGCAAGAGACACGGCGCTGCCAGACGAAGAGATGTACTCCTGACAGAACTGGGACTGTTCACCCAAAGTGAGACAAAGCGAAGTACAAAGCACATTGAAAGTCTCTTCCTTCTTACTGTCAACGGATTCGCCTAATCAAAGCACCTTTTGGTCACTGCATCCAAGTTTCATGCTCATCCAACACTGGTGGAGTCTTTTTTTCGTTTCTTCTGAGTTGACGCACGCAAAATCCAAGAGTTCCACTTTTGGTGAGAACATATTGCTGTCAGGTTGCATTTTTTACAGCACATTGGTTCCCCATGTCCCAGGAATGACCCGCTGTAAAGGCCACTGGGCCAGAGAATTGCAAGATCGAGCAGGGCAATGGGAATTACAGGAGAGGATTAGCGACAGCGCAGCCTGTTACCACAGCGAAAGACAGCCCGAGGACGGGGCATGTTCCCGCCTGACTGATGAAGTGTGCCGGGGTCTATGGATTAGGTCACAGTCAGAAAGCTTTTTTTTTGCTGTACCCTCTGACCTTCTCTAGAAGGTGAGCCCCAAGATGCCTATGATACACCCCAGACTTTTGCAGACTTTTTTGCAGACATTTCCCTGATTCAAAGGGGAAGAGCAGATGCTGAAGAATGCGGGGTCCTGTGGAGTTTGGGAATCCATCATTCACAACAGGATAGAAGAACTTTCATGGGTGTTGCCTTCTACTGGGTATGTGTGTTGGTGGCAGGGAGTCATTTACTAAGCAGATGCAGCCTTTCTATTCCTCCTTTCTCAAACTCTAATTTTAAAAATAGCTAGTCCAGGCACAGTGGCTCATGCCTGTAATCCCAGCACTTTGGGAGGCTGAGGTGGGAGGAGGTCCTGAGCTCAGGAATTTGAGACCGGCCTGGGCAACATAATGAAACCCTGTTGCTACAAAAAATACAAAAATTGGTTGGGCATGGTTGTGAGCATCCGTAGTCCCAGCTACTTGGGGGACTTGGGTGGGAGGATCACTTGAGCCCAAGAGGTTGAGGCTGCAGTGAGCTGTGACTGCACCACTGCTCTCCAGCCTGGGCAATACAGTGAGACCCTGTCTCAAAAAAAAAAAAAAAAAATGCTAATGGCCAAGTAGGCTTTAGAATCCTAAAAAGCTGGCAACGAAAGGAAACATGGTGCCAACAGCAGAGATCTGAGGTAGCAGTGTTCTCCCACAAAGGTGCTATGATGTACAGAGACCTAGAGGAGTCATAGCGTAACCCCGGCTAGAGAGATTAGGAAAAATTCCATGGAAGAGGGGCCGAGCATCATTCAATTTGTTGAGTAAACCCAAAAAGCAGTGCACTGAGATCAGGCCAAGTTAGAGACGTCTCTATGGCAAATGCTAAACACTTTCATCACCCCCTTACATTTGGTAGAAGATTGCTGCAATCACCACTCTCCACAAACAGTCAGAAAAACTGGAACCAGATGGTATCTCTAAAAAAACATGGCCCACGGCCATGAATGTGTGACTTGCATTCCCTTTCAGAATAAGAATAGATGATGTAGACACTGCTGGTTTGGACTGGCTCAGGGAGAAAAGAAACAAACAGATGGAAGTACGTGCCAAGAGTCACTGATGCCTCCAGAGGGCAGTGGCCTCAGCTGTCTTACTCAGGGCTGAATTCTTAGCCCCTGTGAGACTCATGCCCAGCATGTAACAAGTACACAGCCAGTTTTCCTCCCATAAATGAGAGTCCTTCTCAAAATAAAGTTTTTGTCATCAGGGACCAAGACAGCCACTGATTCCCTGCAGTCTTGAAGTCTATCTTTTCTTAATATCCAGACAGAGGGTAAGTCTTGATTATAATGATCATTAGCCTGGAGTGATGCCCAGCTCTGAACCCAAGGGTAAGAATCCCCTCCAAGCTCCTGGCAGGTTGTCTCCACACTCTGACATCACATCCTGCCTCTTTGATTAGGTTTCGGAGTGAATTTTGCCCCTCCCAAACATACTTTGTTAATCTTTTTTAGGTCTGGGAATTCAGCCAAAAATTCCTGAAGGATGAATTTCTTTTCCATGGCCAGGTTGACGTTTGAGCACACATCGCCCTCTTGTGTCTATGACACATTTGGCAAGGTCGTTTCTAGCAGCTGCTAACACACAGCAAAATGAAACCTTGTAACAGCCCTTAAGCCTACAGACCTCAGTACAAGGCAGAGGGAGAACAAACGCACCAATTTTCCCAGAATTGGTCAAGAACATTTGGAAGAGTCCAGAATTTGTGAAGATGGTACTAATAACTACCCAACCCAGAGCTCTGAAAGTTAAAAAATGTATACGGTGCAATAAAATTCATATTCAAGAGCTCACAGGCAGAAAATGTTTACCTTCTAAAAGAAGGGGACATTTTCCGTAAACTGAAAGTTGGACCAAACAGTAGATATATGACCATGTCCTCCTAGCATTTTCATATTCGATCTACTGACTTTTGAGTAGCCTTTCATATCCTCTTTGATGTTACCTATCCACACACCCACACCCACACAAGCCATGTGTGTCAATATGCCCATCTGCAGGGTTTTCTATTCTTAATTATGACTTCAGACTGCTCAGCTTGCTCCTACACCTTCTCACGGAGAGAGAAGAACTTTGGATCTCTGCCCCCATCAGTCCTCGCTGCTCCATCCCTGTAAGCAGGTGCAAGGGGCGTTTTAGCACAGTCCACCAATCACCTGAATCTAAAGCTCCCACAATCACTGACCTAAGTGTGGCCTGGATGAGACTGGTGACCCAAGCCTCTATTATACTGTATTTTGGGTTTTTTTGTTTGTTTGTTTGTTTGAGACGGAGTTTTGCTCTTGTTGCCCAGGCTGGAGTGCAATGGCAAAATCTTGGCTCACCGCAACCTCCGCCTCCTGGGTTCAAGTGATTCTCCTGTCCCAGCCTCCCGAGTAGCTGGGATTACAGGCATGCACCACAACACCTGGCTAATTTTTTTTGTACCTTTAGTAGAGATGGGGTTTCTCCATGATGGTCAGACTGGTCTCAAACTCCCGACCTCAGGCGATCTGCCCACCTCGGCTTCCCAAAGTGCTGGGATTACAGGTGTGAGCCACCATGCCAAGCCTATTATACTGGTTTTTAAAGTAAAGAGACCAGAACAAAAGACACTTCCATATTGACACTATAAAAATCGTCCTTTGAACACTTAGTCATGTATTGCTCAGAGTTAGGTAGTATAGATAAAGACATACTCTGCCCAGTAGGAAGGGACACCCTTCATCTACATATTAAACGTGCACTCTGAATGAAGAGAGCCCCCCCAAACAGGCTTTGTGTGAGCAACATGGCTGTTTATTCACCCTGAGTCTGAAAAGAGAGTCAGCGGAGGGCGGTGGGATAGAAGCTGGTTTTATAGGTTTGGGGTAGGCAGTGGACAGTTACAGAAGTTATGGTTTATGGCACCTTTTGCAAGCTGGGAGGGGGTTGTAGGGTCTGGAGTCAGAGGTTGACGAAGATAGGTTACAAAGTCCAATTGCCTTATCAACTGAGGCAGGAATAAGGAACAACAGAAGAATGTCTCAAGTTAATTAGGTGTTGCAGGGGTTGATCATTCTTCCCCTTTTCATGGTCTTCCAGTTGCTTCAGGCTTCCTAGTTCCTGGAACTCATCTGGAGTGTCTGTGCAGGTCACAGAGGTTACCATGGCATCCATGGTGCCATCAGTCAGCTTAAAAGGCCTTATACTATGTAAATGTTATGCCTCTATCTCTCATGCAGGTGTACCTTACCTTCAGAACATTGCCATCAGGGCCTCTGCAGGAGGCCCTGGCTGTGATAAACGTGCATCTGTAGAGTGCACAATCTGAACATCTTTACCAAGCAGCCCTGACCCAATATCTTACTGCCTAAAGAGTCCCAATCCTCAGAGTATGGCTTTAAAACCCCATTTTTGGCCATTCCTCAAGAAGTAAGTAAAACCTGTACTTCCCTACCTCCCCTTAAGATCCCCAGGGCGTTAGTGGTAAAGCTCTCTCCCTAAAGACTTTTGTGTGCTTCTCCACCCCCTGTTCTTAGAGGTGTACCCTGTTTTTAATGGGGCATAATCCCTTACCTCAAAAAAGCAATGCTCCACTGGCAAACCTCCGGACCATGTTAGTGATCAGCAGGTAAGGGGGACATTTGTGCAGCGTGACATTTCCGGCATCCCTCCAAACATGCTTTTTATGTTTGACTCTGTCATCTCTGCTAAAAGAGGACTCTTTTTATTTCCTTTTTTCTAATTTTTTTTTTTCTTTTTTTGGACAGGGCCTAGTGGTCTTCCCAGGCTGGTCTCACACTCCTAGATTCAAGGGATCTTCCCACCCCAGCCTCCCAAACTGTTGGGATTACAGGCGTGAGCCCCTGTACCCGGCCCTCTTTTCTTTTCTTATTCTAATATCACTTACCAAAGAACACTTGGTCCAGCAGCAGGGAAGGAATCTGACCTTTGCTTCTAAGGTCTTTCTTTGACTACAGCAGGGTCCATGTTTGTCTAACATTAGCACAGGAGGAATATGATTTGCTCTGACCTAAATTATTTCCATACTTTTTTTCTGATTTCCCATTATAATAAATTGAGGGTAAAGGTCAGGGCTCTCTTCGTTTCTTGGCTTTGGATTATAAAAGAGATTCGATTAAAAACAAATAATTCACTCAGTTGTCTCCAGGCTAGTTCCTACACCGTGGAGCATCCAATGAGATCAGTGTGATTGGCATTTCCAAGTGATTCCGAAGACGCTTCCCTTTGCCTGGGGCGTGAAAGTGCGTTCTTCCTGGGTGGAGAGAGAAGTCTAAATATAACTGGACGTCTCTCGCCTCCACTCTAGTCTGGATCCTATCCCAACATCAAAACTAAATCCAGTCCAATCTGACCTGTCCTCCACCCCCTCCTGGTTTTCCTCCCACTACTCTGGCTCACCTCTTGTGGCTCCAGTGGAGGCTCCTCCTCCTTGTCCCTTTTCTGGGTCCCAGGGCCAACCTTCCAACAGCCGATTTGACATCTCCATGTAGATGACTAACAGGTACTTCCAATTCAACCTGACTGAACCTTCTTTTTTAAAAATATTATTTATTTATCTAGAGACGGAGTTTCGCTCTTGACACCCAGGCTGGAGTGCAATGGCACAGTCTCAGCTCACTGCAACCTCCACCTCCTGGGTTCAAGTGATTCTCCTGCCTCAGCCTCCTAAGTAGCTGGAATTACAGGCGTCCACCACCACAAGCGGCTAATTTTGTAATTTTAGTAGAGACGGTGTTTCACCATGTTGGCCAGCCTGGTCTTGGACTCCTGACCTTAAGTGATTCACCTGCTTCAGCCTCCCAAAGTGCTGGGATTACAGGCATGGGCCACCGTGCCTGGCCGACCTGACTGAACCTAAGTCACAACCTTGCTTTAACCCAAACAACCCACCTCGCCTTCCTTATCCAATCAATCATTAAGTCCTTTCTAAATATATGTCAAATCCGTGACTTCTTTCTGAAACCACCTTTGCAAAATTATGACAGAGACAGTGAAAGAGATCTAACTTAACCAACTCCGTCTTGCTTCTAACCTCCAAGCTGTCCTTGTTCATTCTTGGGCATAGGTTGAACTAACTTTGGGAGAAATTTAGTTTATAATTTATAGCTTTAACAAGATGGTAACAGTCCTTTCCCAAAGCAGACCTCCTTCTTGTCCGGGGACTAGATTGCCTTTGTAGGACTCACATTAGCCACAAGATTAGAAATTATGGTTTAGGAGTCACGCAGCTAGAGGCTACAAGATTCTGGCCCTTCCTAAACTGCTCCTAGGATCAGAGCTTGAGATATTTTGCAGACCCTGCACTTGATGGATCAGCTGGCATCATCCAGATCAATAAATTGGCTCAGCTGCTATTGGCTCCCCACCTAGGAACTGACTCAGCGCAACAAGACAGCTTCGACTCCCTGTGATTTTAACCCCAACCAATCAGCACTCCTGGCTCACTGGCTTCCTCCCACTCACCAAGTTATCCTTAAAAATTCTGCTTCCCAAATACTCAGGGAGACTGATTTGCGTAATAATAAAACTCTGGTCCCCTAGTCAGCCAGCTCTGCGTGAATTACCCTTTATCTATTTCAATTCACCTGTCTTGATGAATCAGCTCTGTCTAGGCAGCAGGCAAGGTGAACCCCATGGGTGGTTACATTTCCACCTCCACTGCCACATCTAGATCCAGCATCACCACCCCTCTGCCTATTACAATTGAAGGAAGTTTTGGCTGCTCAACATCTTAAGGAGTGTCATTGTGAAAATACACAAATTAGCTGGGTGTGGTGGCATGTGCCTATAATCCCAGCTACTCAGGAAGCTGAGGCAGAAGAATCATTTCCTTAGAAATTCCATTTGACCCAGCAATCCCATTACTGAGTATATACCCAAATTGGTCTATTATAAAGACACATGCACATGTATGTTCGCTGCAGTGCTGTTTATGATAGCAAAGACCTGGAGCCAACCCAAATGCCCATCAACGATAGACTGGACAAAGAAAATGTGGCACATATACACCATGGAATACTATGCAGTCATAAAAAATGACAAGTTTGTGTCCTTTATAGAGACATGATGAATCTAGAAACTATCATTCTCAGCAAACTGACACAAGAACAGAAAACCAAACACCCCATGTTTTCACTCATAAGTGGGTGATGAACAATGAGAACACTTGGGCAGAGGGAAGAGAACAACACTCACTGGGCTAGTCGGGGCGGGGTGGAGTGGAGGGGAGGAATGAGGGGTTGGGGCGGGAGGATGAGGAGGGATAACACACACACAGAAAGTTATTGTCATCAGCATTTTTCTAGAAAGATAAAAAAAGTCACTTGGGAAACAGGCCTGCCTTTATTCCTGCCCTGGGAAGGAACATCAAATCAACCTAAGATCCACCTACTCCTTTAGAGAAAATATAAAACCAGAGAGTAAACTCTCCATGGAATAATCAACAAAATATAGATATTTGAGAAGATGAATCAGGATCTCTTCAGGTTTAAATAAATTATCATGTATCATCTCTAATTTAAAAACAGCAACAACAACAAAAAGAAGAATCATTTCCTTGAACCTAGGAGGCAGAGGTTGCAATGAGCTGAGATCACGCCCCTGCACTCCAGCCTGGGTGACAGAGCAAGACTCCGTCTACAATAATAATAATAATAATAGAGTGTTTTATATACTCAGGACTCTGTAAAGGATCCACCTGTCTATATGAAAGATCTATTACTGGGTAAGTCAACTCATTACACTTTAGGCCATGGAGAATTTTTCTTCCAAGGAACACAAACATAGTTGACAAGAGAAATGTC